AGAGAGGCGCGGGTTCGATCCCAGCTCTGTGCGCCAGTTTCTGGTCAGAATCGGCAAGGAGGCCGGGCGGTTAAGCATAGCAGAATTGTAGCAGTGAGTTGCGAGTTCGAGACCGCAAAAATGCTGTGAATGTTCTGCGATGTTAAGAATCGGCGACAGGCCTACGGCCTAGTAACGCTGAAACCGCTATTATTATTATATTATTATAAGGCAATACCACAAAAATTTACCATATCTTTATAAGAGAAAACGTTTCGGAGTCCAGCTTCATCGTCATGTTCATCACACAAAGTTCAGTTCAAAGAAGTTTAGTCCAGTAAAACGTGGTAAAGGAAACAGTGAAAATTACCGCGTTTTACTGGACTGAACTTCTTCTGAAGGTTAACCTTGAGTTATGAACTGACGATGGAGCTGGACTCCGAAACGTTTTCTGTTATAAAGATATGGTGAATTTTTGTGGTATTGTCTTTGCTTTTAAATTCCTGTTAACTTGCGATTTCCTTCAAACAAATTGTTTCAACCCGTTAATATTATAACCTCAAGCTCCAGCGGGAGGCGCAGCAGAGGACGTAGTGGCGCGGGCTGTTAGTCCCGAGGACCTCGCACCGCCTGCTTCCCTTCACGTCTTTGGCCGCAGGTCGGTTCATGCATGTTGAAATGATGTGAACCATTCACTTTCATTTAACAGCCCTGCACTGCATGTATTGAGAAATTGTTAACATTCAATCGATCAAAGCCTAATCCTAGCAGCTTACAAAATTTATAATTAACTAAGCAGATGGATTTCAGGCAGATAGTTATCAGATACAATAAAAATAATTATTTTCACATGGCTTTTAAACGAAGCCGGCGAGTTGCGCGTTTTCAGAACATGTAGCTCTTTGCTCCATTGATCTCGATCCACGAGCTCCATTTTCACTTCAATCTTATAGCCACTCTAATATCTTTTCAAAAGCCTAGTTGGCTTAGTATTTTGCTAGCTTAAGATGGATCAGTTATTCTTCCATTATGGAGCGAGGGGACATCGCAATTCGGGCTTGTCAAGCCCCAATATCATACATACGAATTAGCTTAATATTTTCTTATATTTGATGAAATACAAATGTGCAGGCTAGTGATCTCAGACTGCGACGACTACACCAAATCTTACCTTCAGAAGCGGGCTTTGGCGGGCAGTTCTGGCTCGCCTCAACACCGCGTGAGTTCCACGGAAATCCTCTTTTAATAAAATTACGGCACATAATTTTAGCTCAAACTGCAGCAATATCCTAAAACTTCTAAACAGAATCAATTCATTTTGCAATGGAGTCTATTTAATTTGGTTGTTTATGGCCAGTAGCATGAGGCGCTTTTTTTACAAAATTAAAACACACGAATAAGAGTCCATGCATGTAGCAAAATAACGCAACCTGCAGGCTGTCCACGATAACCAATTTTGGACGATTGTAAGGCATGCGAAAGAAATATTCTGGTTGCACTGCATATTCTATTACATATTCTTGATTCCCACACAACTGATTATTTTCTAAGATTAACCAATTATCCGATTATTTTCGAAGACAAGTTAAATTATTATACAACGGAAACGTGATTATCCATATAGCGATACAATTTTATTCATATTTTACTAATCGTTATTTTTCTTTACTCTATCATGTGCAAATCACAGGAAGCCACTGTTTATGCGTAATTAACACATAATTCTCATCATAATTATTATATTAGTCGTATTTATAATTTTTAAACTTGAATATATTTTTAATTTCCTTCTCTACCATGTTATGTGCAAGTCGCAGGATGTCACTGTAATTGCGTAATTAACATATAATTATCATAATAATTATTAGATTAGCCGTAAATGTAATTTTTGAACATGAATCAATTCATACTTTTCTTCTCTATTGTGTTATGTGCAAGGCACAAGATGCCACTGTTAATGCTCAATTAACATATAATTCCTAAATATAAATAACATATAATTCTCATAATTATTATTATATTAGCCGTATTTGTAATTTTTAAACATAAATATATTCATAATTTCCTTCTCTGCTGTGTTATGTCCAAGTCACCAGATGCCGCCGTCGACGCTGAGAAGTTGGACCCCGCAACTGTAGCGCTGGGGCCGGCAGCAACAGACGCCGCTGCGCCGGACGTCGCTGCGAACGAAGGTGACGGTGATCTTCAAGAGCTAGCACCTACAGTAGCACTTACAGTGGGTGCAAAAAGTATGCGATACAAAGGAAAACTTTATTTAATTAAAGCTTATTCAACAAAATAACATAAACAAACATTGTTCTAACGTAAATTTACATGGAAAATGCAAATATCAAATCAAAACAGAATAGCGTTTGTTTATGTTATATTGTAATTAAATAAAGTTTTTCCTTAGTGTAGGATACTTTTTACATCCACGTTATCGTTTCAGGAGCTGCATAACGCAATAATTTTTTTATTTGTTTCTTGCTAGTCATATTTAGCAATTAGAATAATCGTATTTTTACGGATCTCATTTGAAGTCACGCAACGACGTTACAAATTTCCGTGCTGCGATTTCGTAATGACTGCATTGAGAATTTATTCAATTAACTGATGCTGCATTGTAAGAAACTTGTAGTGGGTCCAAATACATAGAATGAAGCTAAATAAATATTCTTCTGATTCTAATAAATTCATGTGTGAATTTATTTACATGTTTTGTTGAACTGAAGTTCGGGATGTGAATGAAATATATCAACTGTGGAAAAGTAAATTATGTTTCTATAGAATCTTCCGTTTTTACGTCATCTTTGGTCAGGATTAATTAAACAATTAACTTTGTTTGGGGTTAGTTTTCACTATCAATTAAAATAATCCCTGCAATAAGTGCTACCAATACCTGGTATATGCTGCACAGGAGCGCCCCTTAGATCCGCGCTTGGGTCGCAGGTTGCCGCGGTCCAGCCGACAACCGCGGCCAGAGTTCGGACCGACATTACGGGACGTCGCGTCATCCGGTCCGGCCTCCTGCCGCCACACGCAACTGAGGTCATTAGGCTTCGTTACAATATCCCGCGCTATTATTAAAAATAGTGTTATTCTTACTGTATCAATATCAAAACAAATGATTACAAAAGAAAATTGTATTGGGGAAAGAGTTCGATTGATATTATATTTTCATGTTCACACTATATCTCGGCGCAGGTTCTACGGTTTTCTGCGAAGCTCCGGTCGCAACTGCCGTCAGATAAGGAGCGTCAGTTTGTGCTGAGTTTCTTCCCGAGCGACGAGACCTTAGAGCTTTCCGAGATCGTGAGTGGAATAAAGATAGTGCGGAGCCGTAAGTAATCATAATAATCGAATGACCAAAACAATCAGTTAATCGAATGATCAAAACAATGGCCCATTCGATCGTATCCGGTATGTTAATTTTATTTTTTTAATAAAGGAGTTGTTGTTTAATAACTTTCTATCACAAGCTGTCAGTTGTAAGGATCAGGATGATGTAGTCAGTTGTAATGTTCAGGGTGACGAAGCAGTTGTAATTATGAGGTGTTCGTTCAGGGTGATATAGTACCTAAACTGTGGTACGCGTACACTTACGGAGCACGAGTGATTTTCAGTTATTTTTACTTTGAAAAAATGTTCAGTGCCAACATCAAAAATAGCAACGATGCGTAACACGATTCGCATGCCGCCTTTCTGGGACCAACGGTCCACCTTTAAATTGAAACAGAAAATTTATTTAATCTGCCTATCATGAGTGCCTGGGTAGAAACAAAAACAGTAATAATATTTAACGACTAACACGCAACTCTAACTAATACTAGTAAGAAAGTATAAGTTATGTTATTTACGAACAAGCGTTATTTACGTTACTGCATTAAGCGTTATTTACGAACTCGCAGCGAGTCTGATTATAACCTGTGTGCCAGAGCTCGAAATCAAGCTAAAAAAGTTTGTCGCACTGCAGTGAAAAACTTCAACAAAATATTGCTAAAAATGCAAAAAAGAAAAGTCAAAGGACGGTATATCTGATTTGAAAGTAGACCAACGAAAGATCTCCTCTGATGAGGGCAAGACTAACGTTCTTAATCAGTTCTTCAGCGGTGTGTTCACAGATGAGGACTTGAACAGTATTCCAGATATTGAGGAGCGCCCAGTCGGCTGCTGCAACTTCTCCACGCGACAAAATTTCTTCTCGCTTAGAATCACCGACATGTGGAACAGCCTCCCCAATGACATCGTTGGCGCTCCAAGTATGAACGCGTTCAAGAACAGACTAGATAAAGCTATGGAAAAATATATGTTCAGATTTGAAATGCATAGAACCATATCGAACCCGGTGGAAGTCTAGTAGCTACTTGAAACTATCGTCAGTCATGAAAATATCCGGTCAAATGAAACGATATTAGATCTTCCGTGAGCAAGGCACGAAAAGGAAAAGAATCGGCGACAGGCCACATCAGGCCTACGCTTCAGCGCCGACATCAATATGTTATGTTATGTTATGTGTAGGCCTACACTGGTACTGTGGTCGTACTACTCCTCTGTACTTTGCACATGCCCTTCAATCGGCGCAGGCTAGCAGAAAGTTTTGGAATTACTGTTCTATCCCATACAGCTCATAGAATAGAATAGAATAGAAGGGACGACTGAGATAGCCCAGCATTGCCCAATACCAGCATAATTTTCATACTTCGCTCCGTGCGCAAGCATGCTGCAGAGCAAATTAGCCAACAAGGTTACTTGCTTAAAGCCACAGGGACCAAATCCCTTCATGGATGTAAACCAGCGAGCCAATGAGCTGCAAGCCGCCAAAACAATGGTCGTAACCCACACGCTAAACCCCAAAATATTTCTATTCCAAGCAGCCTAGCCCCTTCCCCACTTTCGATAAAGAACGCCCTGCGCCATGCACAGTGCTATCAGTACACTGCTACCTCTCCAGCCTGTCCGTTCTTCTGGAGGCTAAACCTCCACGCTTACTCCCTGCTCCCACTCCTTTCGGTACCGGCTTGCGGAAGAATTCTAACCTAACCTAACCCTTTCGCGGAAAGGTGGAGAGAAGGGGGTAAGTGTGGAGGAAGAAGATGCTGGTGAGCGTCAGGGCTGGGCTTACGCCTGCGAAGTGGGTAAGGTGATGCGACAGTCCGGTGCGGGGCTGTTCCCATTTACTGCAGTCTGGTGCGGTCCGCGGACCCTGTGGCTTACAGCATTTGTAAGAAGTGATGGTATGGGCCTAAATCATTGGTGTAGGTCTGTAGGAGCTATTGGGCGTAATCCGTTTGGAGTATCAGCTTGTGGGCTGAGGCATTGCTTGTTTCAAGCTGGTGTGGTGAGATGAGGCAAGTAAGAACAGCTGCATAGGTGTTAGGCTGACTATTTCTATTGCATGTAGAGGGTTGGCATTGGCTCTTGGGCTGATTTAAGATTCAAATTTTTGGGCTACGGCAGCGCTCCCGAATAGAAGTGTTGGCGTTGAAGAAATAGGCCCGTGGCCTGTTGCCGATTCTTGAACTTTTCGTGACTTGATTTACAAGAGATCTGGCCTTTGGAACCCGATCTTTTCATAGCTGACGATTGATTGAGATAGCTGCTGGACTTACTGCCTGGTCCGTAATTTGCTAGGCATTTTAAGACTGAACATATGCTCCTGCATAGCTT